GCTTGAGCCCAGCTTCATATCAAAGCTACTTTAAAGTTTCTAGTGTAATAGCTCCTGGTGGGGGGGACAATGAAACACATATATATTTGAAGAGTTTGATACCTACAAATATTTTAGTGTGGGTATTAGTTTAAGATTGAGAGACTTGCTAGTTAATATGATTTAAGGTACAAAGGAATATTATTCAAAAGGTCTTTTTCTGTCCGAGGTTGTGTTAGTAGACTTGCCTAACATCAAATATGGTTATATATCTTTCCCTGGAGTTATTTAAATGCAGATTATATGCTTTTTAAGATTTTTTTGCACTGTTGTTGCCAAAAATTGTGGAACTAGATTAAGTAGATGCTTTCCCCACATGCCTCCTTCGTTGCCAGCACTTCACTGTAATTGTAGGTGTGGTTGTGTACACACACACACATGCATGTTTATAACATGGCCTTACAGTGGTTAACTTCCTGCTCCAATTCCTTTGGTGATTTTAAAAGTCGTATCTTTTCCCCCTTAATACTTTATTGATCATTATTCATTCAATCTTTGTATTTTCCCGATCTGGATGAAACTATATAGTTCTACAATGCAAAGTACTCTCTCTTTAACTCTCAAACCTTTTCTAATCCCCAGAGCTCTCTTCACTCATCAGCTTGACATTTTCACTTTCGTGTCTAATAGACATGTGAAGTGAAAATGTCCAGAATAGGCCCCTTTCGGGCCGCACGTCTCATCCTTTCTCCCCACCGTCTACATCAGTGACATCACTCTCTGACTCGGGTCACAGCTACTTTCATGCTTCACTTTTTCGGGCTTTTTGTTTTGTTTTGTGTTTTTTTTTTTTTTTTGGTTTTTGGTTTTTTGTTTTGTTTTGTTTTTTGAGGTTTTTCAAAACAGAGTTTTGCTCTTGTAGCCCTGGCTATCCTGGAACTCTTTCTGTGGGACCAGGTTGGCCTTGAACTCACATAGATCTGTATGCCTTGGCCTCCCATAGGCTGAGATTAAAGGCATCACTGCCACCCAGCTTTTTTTTTTACTTTTTTTGTTGAATATTGAATTCATTGAAAAATAATAAATTGAGAGCCCTAATTTGCATATCAAAAAACTAAGTTTTTCAGATGCGCTTTTTTACTAACCAGGATTAAGAATTATTTTAGTATTTATGTACCCAAATGGATGTGGGGGAGACTTTAATAATAATAATAACTGTAGGCTTTTTTTTTGATTTAGCCTGTGAGCACTGTAAATAGCCCTTCTTCTATAAACAGAGCTTCAGTTTAGTAAAATCAGATTTCTTTAAAAAGCAGCAAGACTACCCTAAATTATTCTGACTTAAAATAGATTTCTCTGCCATATTGTATCATTTTACAACTTCTCTGATTCCCTGCATTTGGCTCTAGCAGCTTTCCCTTCTGTGTAACTGTCCCCGGTCATACAGTAACTGTATAGCTTGTGCTTGTCACCCGCCCCTCCTTCCTCCTGCACCAAGCGGTGCTGTAATGTGACTTTTAAATTAATGTCATTCACAGAGAAGAATGCTTTAGAAGCATCCCATCAAATAAGTGTATTAACCTGTATTTTCCTGCTTGTAGGAATGTGGTGGAAACTGTTGTTCACTTTATCTCACTTCCCGAGTCGCACAAACAAAAGAGGTTCGCTGTCTCCCTTTCCTAGCTTAGCTTATAGAAAGAAGGGAAAACGAAGTGTGGAAAAGAAACAAAATGAGGTACAAGCTTTATAATACTTCTAGGGACACCTCCGCATATGTATCAGGTATAGGTTGAGTTTCAAGCGCAAAGCTTGTAGCAAGAGGGAGGGGCCTTTGTGGGACAGTTATACTCCTTGAGTGGGTCAGTAGACGCCCACTTAGAGCCATCCTTTTACTTTTTATCCCTCTCACCACTTAATCAAATAACGTTCAGTGCTACACCTCTGAAATCCATCTGACTACATCTTCATGGCTCACCTAGGCTAACCACTAGCTTTTACGAAACTCTAAAACATGGTGGAAAATAAGTGAACACATAGGAAGGAGGCAGATGGTCTGTATTTGTTTGTCTATGACAGGGATGGATTTACAACTGACTAAAATCTGGTTAGTGTTGGCTCCAGGGATTTTCTGATAAGATTTAAACATCACTGTACTTAACTTTTCACCACTTCAGTATATACATGATGTAAACTAAAATTTTAGAATTTGAGAATTATAAACATTCCTATTAATTTAATAAACCAAATTCAGGGACTAGAGACACACAGTTAAGTGTGCTTTCTACTTTTGCAAGGGACCTGGATTTAGTTCCCACAACCCCAAAGAAGCCTTAAAATTGCACCTCCAGCTCTGGAAGGTGTGATGTCCTCTTCTGGCCTCGGCAGGCACCGCATGTGCACGGTACAATTACACACAGGCAAACAAAATACACACATAAAACAAATTAATCTTTTTGATTAAACAAGAATGAGCCCAGTGTCAGGTGTTTTGTACATGCACATACACATGTCTCTCTGTGTCAGTGGCTGATCATCTTTTACATAATTGTATTCTTGTACAAATGTATCTTTTGCTTTATTTCTTTGATGATTACCCATGTGTAACTTAAACCAGGTACAAATAGGAACAGTAAAGTCAGATAGGATGGTGACCTTCAGGAAGATGCCTTTTTGTGCTAACATCTGCGTAGGAGAAATAACATGTTGTGAAATATAGGAACAATGACACTATAGGGTATGAGGTGTGGTTATTTTTCCAACCGCTTGTGTGCTACCCTAGACTTCAGCAGGTGAAACACATACATGGACAGAAAAGTCAGAGTAAAGAAAGAGAAAAGCTGCCAGTCAGCTAGAAGTCACGGGAGAGCAAAGGCAAAGACAGATGAACAGTAAGTACGGGCTATACTTAGGAGCTCACAGCTGAGGTGTGGACTGAGTGAGGGATGCCATGACTGTTTCCCAAGGCAGGAGCCCTAGAGATGATGAAGCAGGTGAGAGCAGTTGGGGCAGAGCCTAGAGAAGCTTGCAGACTGCGAGAACCTGGGTAGTTCACTACAGGGTTTTCCTAGGAAGAGTTACTGGAGAATCTTAATAAACTTTTCTCAGGATTTTCATATGTGTGATAAAACTTAAGGTTTGCTCTATTTCATCTTTATAATAGGATAGGGTGTGATTAGGGTTAGCATTACAATTAATTTTTTTATTAATATTTTTATTAAAAATTTCCACCTCCTCCCCGCCTCCCTTCCCCCTCCCCCCTCCCCCCACTCCCCACGTCCCACTCTCCTCACCTCCCTCTCCAGTCCAAAGAGCAATCAGGATTCCCTGCCCAGTGGGCAGTCCAAGGTCTTCCCCCCTCCATCCAGGTCTAGGAAGGTGAGCATCCAAACCAGCTAGGCTCCCACAAAGCCAGTACATGCAGTAGGGTCAAAACTCATTTTTTTTAAAGACAAATAATTTTCAGAGAAAAGTCTACTAAAATTAATAATTATTAAAAAAATTCTAATATGATCCATAAAATAAAATTAACGTACTTTAGAATTTTGAATATATTTGCACCCTTAGAAGTGATTTTTGTATTTGTGTTCTTTAGATTTCAATAATTAAGTTATTTTTATGAAAGGATTAAATAAAATGAGACAATATTTTCTATGTGTAAAGGAAATCAAGCCCTTGTGTAAGATGTATAAACACACTCAAGTGTATGCACTCTGGGACATGGATGTATATGTTTCCTGCTTGCTGCATTCAGGAACAGAATGACCAGACCTCACAGACTGCCTTTCAAATGTCCCTAGTGGATCTGTGTTCTAAAGGCAGCAATGATGATACTTGCTGAAAATTAGCTAATCAAGTTCAGAAGAACTCAGCTACAAAAACTAAACTTTCACTCGGATTTTAGAGATGCTTTAGCCACCCTTTCTAACCTCCATCCCACATGGAGAACAAAGACGTTACTTCAGTGCCCTGTCAGTGACCGCAGTCTGGTTTGAAGTGCCCGGGGAGGGGTCATAGATAGAGATGGGATGTCAACAAATCCAAGCTCAAAGTCAATATCTTGTTTCAATTTAAGAGTTTATGGACATGACACATTCGTACACTCATACACACCATTTCATTGTGATGAAGTAAGGCCAGGTGTGCTAATTCTTGTGGCTGCACACTCAGTGTAAATGAACAAAATGGCCACGTTGGACTGTTGTAAACACCGGCGACGACAGTCATTTCTCCTCAGCACTTGGTGACAAGGCAGCAAGCACTGCTTCTAAATATAGCTGTGTCTTCTAAAGCAGCAGCTCACACAGTCAGAATGTTCAGGTGATGTAATATTCAAATCCTCTTAAGAAACATTTTAAATATTTATTACTAACTTGGTGATCATTTTTTATAAAGTTAAATGACTATATGTCCAATTGAAAACATAAGATACTAATAATAATTTTACTGATCTTTACCTCTAAATATAGCCATAAAAATAGAATATTTGTGAATAACCCAAAATGACTAGGTATTAAGGAACATGAAATTAATGTTTTGAAAGGTTTAAGTGGTATTTTCTTCTGCTGTCTTTGGTAAATTTGCTTTCATAATTCTCTACTGCCTGTTTATGTTTCTCAAAGCAGAGAGTTTCTTTAGGCTGCAAAGGATGAAGAGTCAGCAGCCACATTACAAATTTTGAGCTACATGAAAACATTCTCATTGATGTATAGTTATAAGTCCCTGTGTTCTGACATGCTGGCATTTCTCCATAGACTGTATTGCAAAATGCAGAAATTCCAGGAACTTTTTGTTTAACAGTTTTAACTTGAAGATCGCTTTTTTCCTTTGAAAACCATCATTGTACAAGGTAGTTTTATTAAACTATGATAAAAGTCACTTTAAAGTTGTGGTATTTCGATCTTAATAAATTACGTTTAAACTAATTATCAATTTATTATTGTACTTTTTCTAGGTTAGCAAAGTAATATAATGTATGTGCACAAAGCAGAAGTATTATTTATACGTATTTTTTTTAATTACAG